TTGAGGTGTACTTAAACTGTCTTGATTGTGCCTGGATATTTGTTTCTCTCTTCCCCAATTAGAAGGCAGCGTGACTCTTTCATCAGGAGAGTCATGCAAATCTAGTTACACCATTCAATCCAGCTGCCATTTTTGACACAGCTGTGTGTGAAATGTTACAATGCTTTATTAACCATTAGTCACACTGCAGGCTGCCTGTCTCTGTGTGAGGCAGTGCCTGTGACTGAACCTTTTCAGCTGCAGGTGGGCTGTGCTGGGGTCCAGCAGCTCTGCGTGTGTTCCCTGCTCCTTGCATAGGTGGGAAGCACCACAGGAGAAGAAAACTGTGGCAGCTGCTCCTTCCTCAAGCTGTGGCACATCCTGAGGATCAGCTCGTAGTGCAGAGTGTGGAGCTGGCACATGACTGAGAGTAGATGCTTTCTGCTGTGTTATGAGTTGTGGTACAGAACCAAAGCTGGAGTTCATGGAGACCCAGCTCAATTCTCTTATGCTGGAAACTAGTATGCTCTCAAGATTGATTAACAAAATATGGATTTTCTGAAAATGTTCTTTTGGTTTGAAGAAAACCATGATGGTGTCCAAGGTGTGAATGTCTTGTCTTTCCCAGAATAGCCACTGGGAACTGATTTCCTTCTAGAGATGGTGAGCCAGGTTTAAGCACCTCTTTTGTCACTCTGTCTTCCCAGGTGTCTGTTTCTTGCACTTTGTCTGAGTAACTAAACCCATTTTTAGTGCTCTATCTCTTGGTAGGTGCACTCACTTTGGGATGTAGTAAACCCAGGATCAGATATCTTTTGCTCTGAGCTGTCAGTGCAGAAGTGATAAAGTTTTGTTTCTCCTTCTCTTTCCCACCTGCTATGGCAGAATAATCCACTTCAAGTGCTGGTCCTAATGAATAACAGACTTTCTGAAACCTTGCATTTCTATGCAAGAGGAAGGGTTATCTGTATTCACAGCAGAGCTGGAATAAAACTGGATTTTTAGTTCCTTTTCACTCTATTTCTAGTTTGCTTGCTTTTTTTTTTCTTCTTGCTCTTGTTAGCTTGCATTGATTGGTAAGTGGTAAAAAAAGTAGAAAAACACACAGCCCCAGAAAGCAAAAACAAAGCAAAAAAATGAAGAAAAGGTGAGAGACCATTTTCATTTCATTACTGTGCTTCTTCACAGCCCCTATTCTGACATTTAGAACAACATAATACGCATGTCTCTGTTCATTAGGTTCCTCAGTACTACACAGTGACAGCCACAGAGGGTGGGGAAAAAAAGAAACAATCTTAAACATGAACTAACCTTTGCAGGCTAAATAACAAAGAAATGAGAACAGCAAAGAAGAAAAATGGTTTCTGAAAAAGTAAATATATCTGAAATCATGGCCTTGCATAGGTTACTCAACTATCATTACAAAGGGGGGAAAGAATAGTGACCTCTAGGGCAGAAATAACTAATTTTCTGCCCAGTGATTTGTTTGCTTTGCACATATATGTTTGAACAGATCTATTACTGGTATTTGAACCACAGTAAATGACACAAGGAGACTGCTGAAACTGTGGATAATCTTAAAGACATTTGGGAGCTGGTACAGATTCTCAAAAATTAAAATAATAGAAAAAGCTCTTATGTATTTTTGAAGTATTGTACCTATTCAAAGGATAATAGTTCCTGCACCAAGTGGAGATATCAAAGCTGTTAATCCAGAACCTGGTGCATGTGTCTGCCACAGCATGGTGTCAAATACAAATCTTGGGAATGTTAAATGCTAACATTTTCTCCTAAATATACTAGGAAGTCAGTATATAGCAATATTGCTTAGGGTTCTTGATGTAGCTAGTCAGGAGCTGCCATGCAGGTTTGGATGGGTCCAGGGATGCCTCTGCAGAAGGATTTTTAGAGCTCTATCAAAAAGAGTTGTGATGGAATGCAGCTGGCTTTCTTCCCCCATCAGTTCCAACTGCAGAACTTTAAGATTGTCTGGGTTTTACTGAAATTTATCAAGGAAAAAAAAAAGAACAAAAGAGACATTCCAGCCCTCTGGAGGGGAAATATTTTGATTTCTTCTACTGGCACTTTAATTTTTTTTTTCATTTCATATTCTTTTTGGGTTGTCAATTACAATGTTTCTCCCCTCAAATGATGAGATTAAAATTCTCAATGGAGTTTTCTTTCATGGCTGTTTTAAGATTTGTAAATTTTCCTCACTTGGGAAAAAGGAAAAATCGGAGTATTTTATGAAAAATAATTCTCAGTCTATTTAGCACCAGTAATTACACACTCCTGATCTTAGTATTCCATAAAATTAGCCTGATTCTAATTCTGGGATTTTACAGTTTCTTGATTCTTGTATGATCTTCCCCAAGAGTACATCAGCCAGTGGCAAGGAACAGGGATAAAAAAAAAAAAAAATCACACTGCTTTTCCTGTTTCTTCTTCCAAATTTCTATGCCTGCTTTCTTCTGGTCTGCTTCTAAACTACCAGATGTCAAAATACTAATTGGGGGAAACATTCATTAGTCATTTATGTCTCTGGTACCTCTGGCAAGCAGAGCAGGAGAGGGACAAGAGCAGAAAGCAGGACTTGGAAGGAGATATGAGGAGCTGTGCAGCTGCTTTGCAGGTCCCAGGGAGGCTCAAAGCTGAGGGTGTGTGCAGCTCCCACATGATGTCCCCAAACAGGAGTGGACTTCACAGCTACCTTTCATTGGGTTGGGATTCAGAAAGGCTTTAGGTGCACATCCCATCCCCTGCTGTAGTCTCACCCCCTTGGTTTTTATTCACTTGCTAAGGAGGGGATTTGGGGTGGCAGTGACACAGCTCTGGATCTGGAGCTGACAGCTGCCCTGCTGTCATTGATAAGCATTCCTGGCAGGGTGGAGATGGAAATTCAGGATTTACAAAGCCCTGACTGGAGTTAGCCTTGGTGAAGAATTTGTGCCCACCCCAGCTCTGGATTCTGCCTTGGCTGGGGCTTCCCACCTTGGCTCCCTTTGCAAAGAGGGAAGCTCCTCCCTGCCAGCACTGGGGTTTTGGGGAGCACAGGGGATGTCCAAGTCAGGATTGTGGCTGCTGTGTGAGTTTCCCCATGAGCTGCACTGTAGCCATGATATTTTCTGAAAAATCCTTTCCTTAGGATTTTTTCTCCTGAGAAGCTGAGAGGCCTCAGGAACAAAATGTAAACAATGGTTATCTGCTGCTGTGGAATGCAACAGGAGGATCTGTGATTGGCCTCATGTGGTTGTTTCTAATTAATGGCCAATCACAGTCCAGCTGTCTCAGACTGTCTCAGTCAGTCACAAGCCTTTGTTATCATTCTTTGCTATTCTATTCTTAGCTAGCCTTCTGATGAAATCCTTTCTTCTATTCTTTTAGTATCGTTTTAATGTAATATATATCATAAAATAAAAAATCAGCCTTCTGAAACATGGAGTCAGATCCTCATCTCTTCCCTCATCCTAAGATCCCTGTGAACACTCACACTGCACATGACTTGTGTTCATACAGACAGGAAATGCCTTGGCCAGCCTTTCTCATGCTGGGAGTGATTGAGGAGCTGTGCTGTAGAAAGAGATGTCAGAGGTGTGTTCTCTGCCCCCTCTGCTGCTCTTTCTGCTGTCTCCTGTGCTGCTGTGTGTATTGGAAGGAGATAATTACTATTGTGCAGTTTCAGGGTGTGTGAGAGGTAGATGGGCTTTGCCTTTGGAAAAGGCAGTGGTGAGGTCTGTTCCTCCCCATGTGCAATCCTGTGCCATGCTGGTGCCAGCTGGCATTGGGCTGATGGGCTCTGAACTTCCTGCAGTCCTTTGCTGCTCAGCCAAATGGGTTGAAGTTAACAATCTTATCAAGGGACCAGGGGGACTGTGTGTCTGTGAGCCTCATTTCTTAGGAACCCAGGCTGAAAATAAGAGGTATATAGATCAGAGGTTTTGTCAGATAAGAGCTGGGGCTCTAATTTACTGTGGTTTTAATGGGCTAGGGAGGAGGATAAGATACACGGTGAGCTGGCAGGGAGACATGCAAAATAAATTAGTAGCAATAATAATGGTCTGGTAGTTTGTCCCAAATGTAGATCTTGTTAAAGAAGCCCATCATCTTAAAAGTCAGAAATAAGTTCTTAAAGACACTAACAAAAGAGCAGGCTGAAATCTTTTGCTGCAAATTCTTTTTGCTAAAATTGCTTTCCTCTCCCTGGTAAGATAATTTTATTCTAGAAGTGCCTGCTTTGGCAGGAGGGAAAAACTCTTTATCAAGAGAGGTAATAAAAGTCATAAACTTGGAAACCCTTCCATTCTGGCTAAACCTAAAACTTTTCAGTGAAGTTATAGAAACATTGATTGTTAGAGATATTTGAAGGTCCTCAGTTCAACCTCTTACTCAAACCAGTGTTATCACCAGCTATAGATCAGGTCAGCCATGACTTTGTCTAGCCAGGTGTTCAAAAACTCCAAGGATGGACGTTTACAGATGTTCTGGGTAGTCTGCCCAGGTGTTGAACTAATACCCTTATTGAGATTTTTCCTGATGTCCAGCCAGTCCAGTGGTGATCATTTGCTTGTGTCAAATCATCTGGTGCAACCAGAAAGTGTTTGACTGCAGACAGGCCAGTGGGTTATCTGTGCACCACAGCTATGAAAAGGATCAGCAGGCTCAGTGTCTGTGAAACAGAGCAGAAAATAGTCACTATTTCTACTGCATGCAAGATCTCATCTTGTATCCTGAAACTCTGTCCAGAACTGAACTCATTCCCACTGCACTCTGCCTCCTGGTGTTAAGGGAAAAACCTGTTGGTGATGTCATGCAGAGGAACTGAACAAACAAAAGGGCCAAAAAAAGGCTCAACAGATATCTCTGCAAATTCTTTCCGTGTCAGTTTAGGCAATTGCTTTTAACAATTCATTCAATTAGGTTAAGCACCCATTAAAGGAATCCTAAGCCCTCCCTGGGGTCATTTCAGTTCTGTGAGATTGTAATTGTTTGAGACTAACCATGATTTCTTCTTTTGCCTTTAGGTGATACTAATTCTGACAAAGCTGTATGACTACAACCTGGGAAGCATCACAGAGAGCTCTCTTTGGAGGTATGGAGATAAATTGAGTTAATAATTACCACCTTATATAAATAGGAAAAGCCTGATACAGTTCTTTTATTGAATTTAATTGGATTTCTTTAAAAGTACTGGAAGGTTTCTAGCTAAACTTTCTCTCACTCCTGTCCTTTCATACTCAAGGACAAAAAGGCTGAAGTCTCATTGTCTTGTTTCAGCCAGATAAGGTACTTCTCAGATATTCTGTCTTTTGATTTCACCTTTCCCATCTTATTCAGATTGAAATCAACCAATTGGTTTACTTTTGGGTCAACTGGATAGCCAAACGTCTTTGTTTACAATGAAGGATCTCGAGGCTGGTCTGCCCAAATGATCCCTCTGAAAAGCCAGAGTTGCTGAGGCTGGGGGAACACCTATGAGCGAGTGTTCAACATCTGTTGATTAGAACTGATGGGATTACTGCTAGATAATTGATTTCCACTCGTGTGAGCTTGACTGCTGGACCAATTTATAGGGAGTGTTTTGAGATTTTCATGATTTAAAAGCATATCATGCACTGTGTGAACCAAAGGGAAGAGCTGGGCCATGAACAATTTCTTATGGCAGTTATTCGGATTCAATGCGAGCACATGGTGCCTGGAATTCTTTCCCTGAAAAATTAACCCAGGAGCTGTTTCCTCTTTCCTGTGTCCCTGGTACTACTTCCATGAGCTGAGAGGGTGGTTTTCTCATAGTTTCATCTGTGAAACTCTGGTGGGAAGCTTAGGAGTCTGGTATGCAGGTCACTAAGGAAGGTGGATAGACTGCTGGCACCATAGAAGAAAACTTTGGGTATTTAAAACTAAAACCTCTTGTTAGAATGAACTTGTTTTAATAAACTTATATAGGTTTTCTTTTGTAAGGGAGAATTTTAGGACAGAAGTAGAACAAATAAACTTTTTGCTCGGAAGCTGAGTGGGTTTTAATAAAATGATAGAGGAGGGAATTGGCATGAAGTACATTCTGAACTTGGGCTATTGCTTCACCCACTGGCCTGAAAATCTAAAACTAAAACCAAGCAGACTAAAACCTAAAGAAACACAGAACTTGTAAGATTTATTCTGAGCAGTAATAGGGATGCTCAAAAGTGCGAATAATTGGTGGGGTTTAAGAAATGGTTTTTCATACCATTATGGGGGGTTAATCAGTCTTTTCACACACCTTGCTGCCATGACTTTCTATTCCTTTGTCTTTAATATGGTATATGCACACCTAAAGCGTCTTTCAGGACTGTGGCTTTGGCAATGTTTTTCTACATGAAGTTCGTGCTAGATTGTTTAATTTTTCAATGGTTTTGAAAAAGAATATTCAAAAATACAAAAAACATTTTCATTTTCTCTGACTACCCTAAGTGATTTCACCATGAGAAGTACTCATGTCTCCTTTGTCAGCCACTGCAGAAGTTATGGCATTTCAGCATGCACAGGCACCTCCTTCCCCATTGCTGACAGTGCTGAAGATCTGCTTCTGTCATGCAGGATTGTGTTGAGGTACTATTTTCTGACTGAAACTAGGACAGCCACATCAGAGTGGAAGGCACAGTTCCTGATGAGATGTATGAATGCAGCACAAAACTGTGCTGATGGCCTTATGCTCTTTGCTGTTTCTGGTTTCTGTGGAGCATTCCACAATGGCACAAAATTTTGCCCTGATGAAGAAGGGAGTGGCTGTGTGGCTGTCACAGACAGCTGGGACCCCAGCAGTGCTGCAGTCCTAAAGTGAGTGCAGGGCACCTTTCCTGACCTCAGTCCTAATCTCAGAATGTAATTAACAACATAAAAATAGCATGCTTGTTTCCCCTACTCTGGAATTCTCTTACTAAAAACTGTCTGATGAAAAGTAAAAATCAGAGTATTTATGAAAAATAATTCTCAGTCTATTTAGCACCAGTAATTACACACTCCTGATCTTAGTATTCCATAAAATTAGCCTGATTCTAATTCTGGGATTTTACAGTTTCTTGATTCTTGTATGATCTTCCCCAAGAGTACATCAGCCAGTGGCAAGGAACAGGGATAAAAAAAATCACACTGCTTTTCCTGTTTCTTCTTCCAAATTTCTATGCCTGCTTCTTCTAGTCTGCTTCTAAGACTACCAGATGTCAAATTATTAATTGGGGGAAACATTCATTAGTCATTTATGTCTCTGGTACCTCTGGCAAGCAGAGCAGGAGAGGGACAAGGGGAGAAAGCAGGACTTGGAAGGAGATATGAGGAGCTGTGCAGCTGCTTTGCAGGTCCCAGGGAGGCTCAAAGCTGAGGGTGTGTGCAGCTCCCACATGATGTCCAAAGCTCACACATGTGCCAAACAGGCTGGCACCAAGACCATATGAAATTGATTATCATGTCTGACCTTCCTTCTAGTATTATATTAGCATTCTTTCTTAAGGTTTAAGTCACCCTCAGCCTTCAGGGTAAGGTGTATGAGGAGCTGAATAATTTTCTTTTTGTTTTAGTATATACCAGAAGATTACTATTCCATGAGCTGACCTTCTCAGTATCTTTTGGAGTGTGTTAAAATTTTTAGTACCGGTGACATCTTAGAACAAGGAATTCCATAAATCATTTGAGGAACCACTTGTCTTACTTTGAACCCCTCAGCTTCACTTGGCACATGTCACTTATCAGGACTTGATTGCATTTGTATGGCCAACCATCCAGAATCCCTGGGAAATGCTTTGAACTGGGAAGTGCTGGAGAACCACAATCAACCCACTGGTCTTTGCAATGCTCCATTATTTGTGATTGGCCCTTAAGTGCTCATGGCTGCTCTGGAAGCTGCCAGTTCATTTCCTTGGATTTTCCTCTCTCCTGTTACCTTAAGCAAGCCTGTGCTGGTTCATTGTGCTCTGTCCTGAGTTTGGCTCTGCTGTTAAAACCCCCCTCACCATGCAGCCATGCCCTCAGATCACTGGTAAATATGCCTGTGAAGATCCCAGGACAGCTTCTCTGTTCCTAATGTGATGGAAAGAAATGCCAAGGTGGGCATATCTTATTATTCTATGTACCTCAAAGAGGTTATTAGCTGTTGCTCCTCCTGGCTGCTTAAGTGACACGTTAATTTAAATCTCCCTGCTTCTTTGAAAAGGATAGAACAAAAATAGGTTTGAGAGAAGGGGTGAAACATACCTTGCAATTTATTTCATGCCCCTTAGTTTCATTCTGGGGAATGGAAGAGAGCATCATCTCATGTCTGGTTTGCTTTCTGATATCAGGAGTTCTGTTTCTGAAGGATAGAAGGGAAAGGTAGTTCTGCAGGTACCTACAACTGAAGAGGAATCTGTCTTGAATACATGGCAAAGAAATCCCACTTCTGCCTCCTGTGCTGAGTGCACTTTTCAAAGGTTGATGAGTGATGAGGGGCTGTAGAAGCATGTTACTGACACGAGTAATTTGTGCAATAGCTGGTTATAAGCACATCTGTCATTCCAAAGTGTATTTGGGTGATTTAAGCATTTTTACTGATGGGACTGTAACCACCTATAACCCAGCTATGCCATTGCCTACAGGATACGAATCCATCCTCTTTATAAACACATTCCTTCCTGCTAGGATTATGTTTCTTTATTTCTCAGCCAGTTTACTGTAGCTGGCTGCAGCACTAATGGATGGAGATCATCCTTCTAAAACTGCTGACGAGTTAAAAGGCCACTGGTGACAGACATGAAGGGATGAAATACAGTAGGAGAAAAAGACAGGAAGACTCTGTATAATCTTCTAGATTGTTAAGGCTCTGTGTGCACTGAGCTTTGGATGGCAAGTGAGCTGCTGCTACTGTACATGAGAAATGAAATTTTGCATCAGGCTGGGCCTGATTTTAATTATACCGTTATCCTCTCAGCAGACTTTTTCCACAATTTTAGTTGAGAACTTTTTATTTACTTTTTGTTATTCTTTTTACAGAAGAGAAAGAAAATGGAGAATGAAAGATTATCTGTCACTGAGCAATTAACTGAGTGTATTGGATTTATTTCTCTTCCTCCCATAGATATCTCTCAGATCAAAAAGAGGATTAAGCTGTGAGAGTTAGGAGAAGATGTTTTTACCACTGGAGTAAGATAAGCTTGCATTTCAAATAAATAAAAATGTCAGAATTGTGTCCACGGTATATGAGCTGTAGACAGCTGTGGGAGGACTCATCTTTTCCTGTTTGTGTAAATATGATGCTCTGGAAAGATGTGCATGAGTGACACTTTCCCTCAGGATCTTGAGAGGCTCTCAAGCCACAAGTGCTGCCATTCACCTCTTTGCCTTCTTATTGCTCTGTATTTGGTCAGAAATGAGGCATTTCCTGGAACTTTGTATAAAAATAACAGTAATTAAACTTTCATTTTCAGCCAGGAATTAGGAAGATGTAGAGTTTGCGTAGTGTGAGAATATTTTAAATCATGATCTGTTGCTGTGTTAGTTCTGGAAGCTTCTGATGATAATCTTGGCACTTCAACATTTTGCCTGAGCTCTGAACTCCCCAGTTCAGGAGTGATTATCACTTCCAACCTGCCCTCCACTGCTTCTAGTTTCTGCATTAAGGAAGCTTCAGCACAAATGCCATAAAGAAATCTCAAGGATGCTGATAAATACTTATGTCTCATGTAGATCTAGATTTAATTTTCCATATGTAAAGTGGGGGTTGTTTATAGTTGCTATTTTTTTTTTTTATTCTTGGAAAGCTGAAAATGGATCTGTTTCTAGCTCAGTTTCTAGCTTTTACATGGCCTTTTTATTTAACCTTTAGCTGCTATTTTAACTCCTCCATCAATTTACTTATCCATTCCTTCCACCACCACCACTGCACATCATGCTGCAACTCTGTCCTTTCAAGAGGGGAATTTGGGTTGTAATCCAGAGAAGAGTCAGAGTTGACCCCAGCCCTGTGACTAGAAATACTACAGGTGTTTTGAAGCCTCCCATGTTGCTGTTTCTGCATTCAGGCTCCTTTCCCTCTCTGCAGATGAAAACCATAGACACCCAGAACTGTCGATGTGTTTGTGGAGA